AGTGTTTTTTTTTTTTTTTTTAAAGGAAAAAATCTTCAAGTTTTAGATCAAATATAAAGTGAATGAAAACAGTTATTTCTCTCCTTTCAGTTATGAGATGTGCGTTGGAACAAACTCACAAGTAGATGCACAAGAAATCAAAGTGCATCGGTTAAATTATATCGCACACAGCCCCAAAAAAACCCTTATTCAAAATGCCATTCAGTCTTTCTTCCAAGAGAGACCTCTGATTTTGTCCCTTCCATACTTCCCACCATCAAAACCTAAACACCTAACACGATAAATGATCAAATTGTAAAGAAATTAAACAATCAAACCATCCAGATACTGTTCTTTCTCTTAGTCTCTTCTCAGTATCTGTAGTGAGGAGGCTTGTAAGGACCCTCAACAGGCACGCTAATGTAGTCAGCCTGCTCCTTGGTGAGCTTGGTCAGCTTGGCACCAAAGCTTGCTAAGATGAAGAGCAGCAACCTTCTCATCAAAGGTGCTTTGGCAAAACATACACTTTCTTCTCATACTTGCTAGTTCCCTTCTCTTTCCAGAGCTCAAGCTGGGCAATCAGCTGGTTTGTGAATGAGCATGACATCACAAAGCTAGGATGACCAGTGGCACAACCCAAGTTCATGAGTCGTCCCTCAGCCAACACAATGATGCCTGAGTTGGTTTCAGGGAAGACCCACCTATCAGTTTGAGGCTTGATAGTGATGCGCTTCACACCAGGGTAGGTATCAAGCCCGTGCATGTCAATCTCATTGTCAAACTGACCAATGTTGCAAACAATGGCGTTGTTCTTCATCTTCTTCATGTGGTCTACCATGATGATATCCTTGTTGCCGGGGGTGGTGGCAAACGTGTCAGCCACAGAGACAACATCCTCAAGGGTCAGAACTTGAAGTCCCTCCATAAGAGCCTGGAGAGCACAGATGGGGTCAATCTCTGTCACAATGACATGAGCTCCAGCCTGCTTCAAAGCAGCAGCACAGCCCTTGCCAACACCACCATAACCACAGACCACAGCAACCTTGCCAGCAATCATGACATCAGCTGCTCTCATCAATCCATCAGGGAGAGAGTGGCGGTATCCATACAAGTTGTCAAACTTGATCTTGGTGACGGAGTCGTTGACATTAATGGCGGGGAACAAGAGTGTTTCATTGGCCTGCATCTGGTAAAGCCTCCTAACTCCGGTGGTAGTTTCCTCAGAAACACCAACCAGTCTCTCCTTCATCTTGGTGTACTTCTTGAGATCTACTTTCCTGTTATCGCGGATAATGGTCAGCACGATATGGAACCTCCGGTTGTCAGTGGAAGACGGATCGGGCAGCTGGCCGGTCTTCTCATTTATCTCTTTGGCCTTAACTCCCTCATGGATCAACAGCGTCGCATCGCCACCGTCGTCGACGATCAGATCAGGACCACCGCCAGGCCCCCAGTCATGAGCTCTCTCGGTGCACAACCAGTACTCTTGGAGAGTCTCGCCCTTCCAGGCAAAGTTGGCGGCAGAGTCACGAGCGATGGCGGCAGCAGCGTGGTACTGGGTGGAGAAAATGTTGCAGGAGCAGCAGCGGACCTCAGCACCAAGAGCAGTGAGGGTCTCAATAAGGACAGCAGTCTGGATGGTCATGTGGAGAGAACCAGTGATCTTGGCTCCCTTGAAAGGCAGTGAGGGGCCAAACTCAACACGGCAGGCCATGAGTCCAGGCATTTCAACCTCGGCGAGTTCCATCTCGAGGCGGCCAAAGTCAGCCTGAGACATGTCTTTGACCTTGTACTCACGGCCGCCGCCGGTCTTTTCAACGTGCAACGACATGACTGGAAGATAAGAAAGAAACATTCTCTGACTATTAGTGTTAGTCCAATCAAAATCTTTTCTATGGCTAAAGTGTAAATGTTTGGGCAAACTTTTTTCATTTCATGAATGGTGTTTGTATCCTTGGGATTACGGTCGAGCCATCAAAAATATAGACATGCAAGGAACGAAGCCAAATGTGTGATGCATTTGGAAGCTACTTATGGTCGGTGTTTTTTTTTTAACAGCCAAAAGTAATATTAATTAAAAAATGGAGTACAAGGGTACCCCAAATCCATTAACATCCCAACTGGAAAGCATAAGTTTACATCCGTATGGTGTCGACACCAGAATTGTGTGTCAACACCACGTCCGTGTCGGAGTTCTTGTGCTCGCCGTATGGTGTCGGCACCAATTTTATGTGTCGACACCACACCCGTGTCGGGTTTTCTGTCCTCTTTTGCAATTTCTCCACATCTCACTGTTTTGATCATCAAACCCACTGGCACAGGAAACCCCTACTGTTTAAAAAACACCTTCATATGGTATTACTGCAAACATCATATCAGCTCACCTTGCTCAAGCTCTATCAATCTTGGTTTTGAAACTTTTACTATTTGGCATCTACTTGGAGCATTGCACCAGTCCGCAAAAGATTATGTCCAGCCTTCAATTTTGCTCTTTATCCAATAGTATGGTCGGTGTGGTTTATTATTTACTAAGGTTTAATTGTATATATTTTATTTTTGAGTTTTTAATTTTTTTAAATTGTACGAATTAGAGTATTTTTCATACCTTAGTCTTTATATAATAAAATTTTATATTTAGTTGATAGAAAATATGAAAAAGAAAAATGAAGAAGCACTCTCTTTAAAGGAAGTGGCCAAGCAATTAAAAAAATGAAAAATGACTACCGTAATTATTATAAAATGTGTTAAATTAGAGTATATAATAAATAATATTTTTTTATATGATAATTAATCAATGACAATGTCCATTGAATGGATTTAAATTTCATTATGAAAATACATTAAGCTGTATAGCACGGTCTGCATGTAATGTTCCTGGAATGACAACTACTTTTTATTCATTTGTAGCGGCCTGGTACTGGTATCTGTAAAGCTTAGATAGGGTAGCAGTAGGCTGATTGAGATTTTGAATCTCTTCGATTAATCAAGGTCCTGCTCTTGATATTTTGCTTTTCACAGGCAGCTAATTAAAAAAAAAAAGGAGGAAAAATGTGGAATTATATTATGCATGACAGCAGGTAAAAAAAAAAAAATGTGATGGCAAGTGGTAGTAAGACATCCAAGTCCAACCATCCCTAGTGGCTGGACTTGGATTGGATTACATGCATAGCTCAAACTCCATGTGAAGCTGAAACATCAAAATGTACTTCCCCCGAAGAACTTTTTCTTTATGTTAAATCTCGCTCTCACCAAAATATCATCAAAATATCCATAAGCCAGAATTACTTTTTCTTTAAGTTAGATTTCACTCTCACCAAAACATTTAGGTTATCTATATAAAGATTAGTGTTTATTAGTTAGATTTTTAAAAAATTAGAATCATAAATATTTTTTTTGAACATATTACAATTATTTATAGGTTAATTGGGGGATGGGAGAAAGGGTTTTAGGGATTCGAACGGTGTAATTAACAAGAGGTGAATAGTCTTAATTTAGTCTTAATTTAGGATCCAATATCACTGAGTCGGAGTGAGCCATTCTAGAATCATAAATATTTAAAAATTATATTAATTTAATAAAATATTATAAGAAGAGATTAGAATAATCTCATTCCTATTTTAAAAATAAAATAGAGTATTTTAATATTTTTTAATAAAATTTTATTTAAGCAATGTGATTATGAGACATTTGTACTTCTAAATTTCTACAAATATCCAAGTGACAAACATTTTTCTTATATATATAAAAGTGTTTATCTATTATATCTTTAAAAAAATTAGAAGGAAAAATTATCTTAAAATTATGTTATATCAATAATTTCTCAT